GACCTTGTAACAGCAGTCACACTGGGAGGGGAGATGGGAGCAGGGGGGCTGCAGGAGCCCCGTGCTGGGGACACAGGGCTCACCTGTCACTGGAAAGGGGGGACCCCAGCACTCAGGGCTGGGGGGCTTTGAAGACCTTGACCCTGGGCGCTCTCAGCTCATCCATGAGCTCCCAGAGCAGCATGGCTGTCGCTGAACTGGCCACCCCAAATCACACAGCTGCCTCTGCTGCAAGGGGAGGCTCAGACACAGCCCCTCGCCCCTGCAGGTTGTGGGTGATGGGCATTTGGGACCAGCAGTCAGAAGTGGGCAGATGTGACCCAGTACGCTTGTGGGCCACGCACAGACCAGCACAGTGATGTCTGTCCCTGATGTATGCAGCAGACCCACACACTTGTCAGCTCCCAGTTCCGACTGTCACCTTGCCACAACCACCTTCTGCGGCTTCTCTGTACACACACGTTTTGAGCGTACAATGGCATGCACATGCGCTGTCATCAGAGGCACAGCCTCACCCCTGCACAACTGGGATGGCACAGTGCTGCGGCCACTGCGGAAGATGCAGTGGGAGTTGCAATGAGGAAAATGGCAGGGGGGAGGTACTTATGAATAAAACCTACTCCTGTTCTGAAGGTGCCAGGAGAAAAGCACAAACGTGCCAGAACCTGAGGGCCCCATGCAGACCCAGCCCACTCTGGGTAAAAAGCACCTTTTTCTGCTAAAAGCAACAAAGCTTAAACCAATCCAAGCTGGCGCTCGGTGGCTGCAGAGCAACCCCAGCCCCAGAGTTACTTCTTCCCTGTTCTTCACCATGTCAGGTAATGGACAAACCCCTGCACCACCAAACCCCAGAGAGGTGCAGGTTGTCCCAGCTTTTCCACCACAGCATATTCATCCAACACCCACACCCACAGCTGTGGAGGTCTCACTTCACAGACAAGCAGCTCCCATGTGACAGGCTTCTAACAAGGTTTGTGTGGAGGAAGGCAGTGGGACTGCGGTCCCCTCACCGTCACCTTCACTCCTCACTGCTGCCTTCTGTGTTGGTGCTGGGGATGGTCCAGGCAGAAACAGGTTCAGTGCTCTCAGGCCTCTCTGAGCACAGCGTGATGCTCTCATCAGCTCTGCATGTTGCCAGTGCCCACGGAGAAGCTGACCTGTCTGCAGTAGGCTTGGCTTTTGTTTTGTTTTCACAGAATCACAGAATGGTAGGGGTTGGAAAGGACTTCTGGGGTTCTTCTAGTCCAAGCCCGCTGCCGAAGCAGGGTCACCTAGAGCAGGCTGCACAGGATCTCATCCAGGCAGGTTTTCAATATCTCCAGAGAAGGAGACTCCACAACCTCCCTGGGCAGCCTGCTCCAGTGCTCCGTCATCCTCAGAGTGAAGAAATTCTTCCTCATGTTCAGAGGGAACTTCCTATGCTTCAGTTTGTGCCCGTTGCCCCTTGTCCAGTCGCTGGGCACTGCCGAAGAGAGTCTGGCCCCATCATCTTGACACCCTCTCTTAAGATATTTATGGGGATTTATAAGATCCTCTCTCAGCCTTCTCTTCTTCAGGCTAAACAAGCCCAGCTCCCTCAGCCTTTTCTTGTAGGAGAGATGCTTCAGTCCCCTCATCATCTTCATAGCTGTGGAATTATAAGTAAAATTAAGGTTTTACATCTGAAAATGAAGGTTTATATGAAAATGTAGCAGTGTTCACCCATTGAGGAAAAGCAAAAGGAGCTCTGAGGATGGGACACAGCTGCAGAAGGCATGCGAAGAATCCACTAACACAGCAACTCCCTGCAACATACCATAGAGGATGGAGTGGAGACTCCGTGGCCATGCTCCATGATGACAAAGCGGGAAGAAATGGTTCTCTAGAACTGATG